ATGGAAAAAATTATATTCAAACAAATACTTCAGTTTGAAGACAAATCAACTTATGGACAAAAAGTTAAACGTCAGCAGTGAAAAAAACATCAACAAAAGTCACATCAACGAAAAGTGCAGTGAAAATAAAAAATTATATTCACAGGCAATCAGAGAGCTCAGAATTTCAGAACACACAACCAGTGTAATTGAAACAGCTACAAAAGTCCTCTGAAGTAAAGCAACCAGAGAAATAACTGTACCTTTATGTTAGAGCTGCTCTGTATATGAAAGAGCACTCAACAACAGGACAGTTTCATCTCATTCAAACACAAATACAAATGCTGACAAACAAACCCAGAAAAGGAGGATGACTGAACTAATAACAAATGCTTTAAATAGAGGCTGAAATCACCTGGACTGGGTCCATGAAGGGTTCTCCATGGGTTTTAACATGGTTTAGCAATATAAAATGCCCTCTAGAGCACACAAATTCTTTATTTAAAATATATACATATGCACACAGCCACTGCCATGCCACACACTAGACTCAATACACTCCAGAATAAAGAGAACACTGATAAACTATTTCTGTATGTTTTAACATGCAGTTTCATAGCAGACATGCAATTCAAGCCTGGCTGAACAAAGAAAGAATCAAGGCAGAGCAATGATCAATATTTCATCAGAGAGAATTAAAAACATATTTTACATGGAAAACAACAAAAAGGTAAATCTATAAATTATGTTGAGCCTAACCATACAACTGTTATATTGACAGAAACAGTGGCTCAATTCTAACCAGCCAAGCTTTTCTGAAGTTGTTTTAAGGAAGACTGTAGGCCTTTTAACTACTGAACTAGGAGAATGTGGATTCATCAGCACATTTTCCAGCTGTATAATAACTGGCATGAACCACTATGTGTGTTCTAGAATATGAATTTATTTACACAAAGCAAGTGAGTCCAGAACTACATTTGTGGTGGGAAATACTGCAGATGATGCTATGTCAGTACAACAGACTATTTCCAAAGGATATTGATAACCATGCTAGGTAACAAATACAGCATTTTGTAAAACCATGCTATAGACAATCTGATTTCTTAATGCAGATGTAAAAAACTCTGAATGAATGTAAAATAAAAATATCATGGCTGATTCTTCAATAAATTTCTATCATAGGTATTTAAGTTAAAACAATTTGAAAGATACAAGATGAACAGTATTCAGAATGTATTCAATGTGGCCAAACCAGTCCCATATTTCTTAGACTCTCACATCTGGTCTATTCAGCCAGTGCTCTGTAACAATAAAACTGAAGTAGAAAAATGGGGTGAAGAACACAAAGTGAAGAGAGAAAGGAACCATCTAAGTCAAAGAATACAATATATCAAACTCTTGCTTAGATATTACTGCATTATGACAGCTAATTTATGGTTAGGGTTCACCACAAGTTGTGAGATTTTACAGGGAGTTCATAAAAGCAAAAATGGCATCACCTGGTTGTAGCAGAAATCAGTTAGAACTAAAAGTTGTGGGAATTAATAAGCTGCTGCAGAATGTAAGCCTGTGAAAGTATTATGCTCTGTTGTTCACAAAATATAAAGCAAAGTCTTTGGGAACCCCCAGTGAAGGTTTGAGAGACTACCAAGTTCTCAGAAAAGTACACGAGACAGCTGCTCCCTTTTTGCAAGGATTTAGTTATCAGGCATTCTAAAAAGGATCATGTTTGATGCCATCCTTTGCTGTGTCCTGCTACCTTTCATTAATATTTAATATAAAATGAAGTCTTGTTCTTATCTGCACTCAGAACACGCTGTAATCAAGGAATTAATCCAAGGAGTCTCTATTTTCACAAGATGGTTACAATCTACAGAAAACTGTAACACCTAAAAACTCACTTTACAAAGTGTTGCCTGTTGTCTCATTCAGAGAACAGCAAAATCTCAGAATGTAAAAAAACTACCTTCTAAAACCTAACAGCATTCTTACCCAGCTAGAAGTAACTTAGGAATGAACAAAAGTGAAACAATTACAAATTATTAAGGTTATTTTTCTTGTTTCATGCCCATAAAGCCTGTTGAAACGCTAGGAGTTTTCAGCAGTATTTATTTGTGAGGGCCTAATTAGGTGGCTTGCCCTCTGAAGAAACACTACTCATTGTACTAACAAAATTAAAGACCTAGAAAGTGTCAGGAGTTGGTATGCACATGCACGATGAATATCAACCTCTGTCTCTCAACTTCCCAAAAAGAGAAACAAAAGCCTTACAACCCTTTGTATATGTTTCATTGTGCTATGCTGTCATGTAGAAAGATCAGGGTTTAAAGTTTTATGATTCCGAGTGGAATAACAAAAGAAATACATTATATGCTGAGAAATACCCACTCTTGATTTGGCATCAAAGAAGAATTTGAAACAGTCACAGCCTTGCCTTCCTACATGAACAAATGGCAATGATTACCAGCCCAAAATTACTAGATACAAAATTGGATAAGGAAGCATGTGGGAAGTGGATGAATATCTTTGCATGAATTACCTTTCAGTTACTTCTTCCATTTAAATGGATCAATATTAGTCCCTCAGATTTAAAATAAACTTTGGATTATAACACTGCCAAGCTCAAGTAGAGATAAGAACATACAATGTATTAAGAAACCTCTTTCACTATGACTTTGAGGCATCTGGCTGGTGGTTACTGCCAAAGTCTGAAGAGCATCTGCTCTCACTTTAGCAGTTTATATTCTGACTCTGGTGAATGGAAGCACAATCTCTGAAACAGCCTTTGGGGAACACTACTGAGTTGCTCGACAGAGCTCTTACTCAGAAAGAGAGGAGGAGATTAATAGTACAGAAAACTTGAAAGATCTAGCTTCTGAGAAAGGAGAAAAGAGCAGTTTCCTAATACTGTACATACCACAAATCTCTCTTTTACTAAAACATTAAAAACCTGCCCTAAAACTGAAGTGATTCAAGATGAACAGACCTAAAGGTAGAAAATAACATCTGTTGAAGTAATATTCAGGCAAAAGTAAGAAGAAACAATGTATCTTAATTTGTCAACAGGCATCATGAAAACAGAAGAATGAGGACTCACATAACAGACCTTTTCCTAATGTGCTCGAGAAGGTCACAGGCGCTTTGATTAGTCCTGGTGTTGTCACAGCAACATATGGCAACACTGAGTCTTGTCATGAACTTACAATGTCATTATTTTAAGTGCCCAGTAGCAGAAATTACTAAATTTGTGTGTGGTCCTAAGCAAACAACAAATCTGGCCACACACAATGAAAACCCAGCTCCTAAAACTTCAAAATCAGCTGAAGAAATTCTCTCCTCAAGAGCCATAGATCCCAGATAGTAGCCACTTCTGAACTCCACAGCCACTTTCAAAACTATAAAAGGCTTCATGTAAAACCAAAATAAAGCTCTAAAAGTGGCTGCAGGAGATCACTAGGAGTGGCAGCTCTTCTGGATTCACTGCTTTTGAGAAGTAAATCCCTGCAGCTGCTTCTAAAAGCTTTGAAAGTTTCATTTCAATTATCAAAGCCAATAAAGCTTCAAAAACAGCCATAGGGATTTGTTCCTCAGAGGAGCAAACCCCAAAAGGCAGTGATGAATAGTGTGATGGGTTCTGTGGCTCTTAAAGTATGTACAGATTCCTGTAAGTCCTGCATTTGTAATTACAGCTCCATGTTGTGCAGCAATTGTTACAGCCAGACAGCTCATTAAGGCTGATGTGGCAAATTCATTACTGATTTCCCATTCTTTCTCAGTTTTATGTCTGTTGCCTTTTCCTTTTTCACACCTGTATCAAGTCTAACGTGAGCATCCCTCCCAAGACATCTCGTGTGTCCCTCCATGACCCAGGAAGAGCTCGCAGGCTGCAGTCCCACGTGGTGCTAAGCCAGTCCCAAAAGGCAGGACCTGCTTTCCCAGCTGTCATCACATCCTCACAGCCAGCTGACTACAGCCTGCTAAACCATCCCTTCCTCTGAAGGGAAACTTAGAATGGCATTTTGTAAAGTGTAAGAGTGAAGTCTGACAATAAGTCAATGAAGAACTTGCCTGCAACTGCAATATAAAAAGGGTCCCGTTAATTCAATGAACATGAACACAAATAACATTTCAGAAGCAACCACATGACTTAAAAAAACCTAACAGCACTACTTTGCAACAAGATTTTGGTCTTATCTTTAAAACTCCGAGAATCAGATCCCTAAAAGTTTGTGATGTAAGCATAGATCTGAAAGAGCTACAATTTACACCCCTAAACAATTGGAACTTAGTATATTAAGACACTGATAGCATTGAAAACACTACCAAAATTATGCTGAAAAATATACATTTAAGTATCAGAACACATAAAGAATATTAATAAAGTATATTGTATAAAATACATTGCTTTATAGAAGCACATTTCCTAACATTAAAACATCACTGATTTTGAAGAGTTGCTCTATTGAAGTCTTTAATTCCCACTTTCAAATGGCAGAATAAATAAACATACCTTTTTGCCACAATAAATAAACACAGCTTTTTGAAAACATGTCATAAGAAAATCTCTATGAACTTAAATAGATTCAGGTGTTAAGAACTCAATAACCGGCTCGTATGGGAAAGAAAAAATCTTGTCAGGAAACTTAAACATTCTGTTAAATGATATTCACAGGTGTCCTCTGTGACCTGTACTACTTACTTTACCTCTCTGTTTCAATCTTCTCGTGTGTAAAACATGAAGGAGGATTGTGAGAAATAATTAATGTTTGCAAAGAGCTTTGAGATCCTTGGATATAAAAAACATGAGGAAAGCATGAAGTTCAAAAGTACCAGCATGCTATTTTATTTCCAACTTGAGGTAAACTACTTTTATCACAAAAACCTTGAAAGTTTAGAAATACAAAATTATGTAACCAAATGTTTAAAAAAACCATCTTAAGTGCTAAGCATATTCTGTTCCTCAGAACCTCATCACTCTGAAGGACACACTCAGTCCCTGAAGGAAAGGATGTGCTTCTCACCCGTTTCAAGTATGCGTTTGTGGAGAGGTATAGCAGCAAGAAAGGGTTCATCTTTACAGGACTGCATCTGGGTTCCAACCAAGTCAGAGTTGGCAGCCATAATTCGGGCACTTTCTTCATTGAGATTAACACCAGCCATAGAGGCAACATCATTGATGTCATCGTCATCTCTACAATTAAAAAAAAAAAAAAAAAAGCCATATAAAACCAAATTCTGTATGCAATATATTCATTTTCTGCATCATCAGCTTCTTCAGAAGTAATCATCATGCCACATGCCCAATGGGTGGGCCAATTGAGACACAACCCCTAGTATCTCCATTTTCATAGCATATCTTCAGAAACAACCACTTATTTCTCTGACTGTATCAGGAAAAGATCAGAAGCAGGAAAATCTGACTGGTAACGAGGTGTGCCAGAGGTGTCTTCATCTGAGAGTCAGTGATATCAGTGAAACCAGGCTGATCAGGACACTAAAGGCAATGATCACCACTAACAACTGAACATTGGGCTTTACTCTTTATAAAAAAAAAAAAACTAGGCATAAAATGGTAAAATCAATAATAGAAATTAAAAGCAAAACCATGAATTTTTAATCCTGCACTGTTTCACAAGTTCCTACTAAAAGAGGATCAAAGCATTTTCAGCAACAGTCAGGGAAGATTCTTTGACCATGCTGAGCTCATAGGTAAGCCTGGGCTCCAATCACTGGCTTGAGAATGTCCTGGAATTTTCTCTGGCAACATAGATACCAGTTGTGTCAACAAATTTTAGGAAAATGAGCTGTATTTGAGAGGATCATAGCAACTGCCAGGCCATTTTTTGCCCTGCAACATCCTTTTTAACAGCTTGAGAAAGTACAAACAAATTTGAGTTTCCATACTGATATCACCCAAGCATCTTTACCTCCTACCTGTCTGAGGTATGACTCAGAGCTGTGGAAACAGCCATCTGGATTTAGCACATTCTGTTTCACAGCTATTATTGACACAAACACTATTTCAACATATTCTAGAGTGATTACACAATCTTTGAGTATATTATTTTCAGAATATATATAGATAAGAATATTCAAGTCCAGGCTCCTATTACTGTATAAAGTAAACAAACAAAAGCTTAATTTAAAAGATTTTTTAAAAATTCTTACATACATGATGTCCAGTGCACCTTAAAATACTTTGTCACTTGTAACAAGTTTAATGCCCACAGTAAACACCAAGAGTTGCAAGTAAGAACAAAGGAGGGAAATCCAGAAACCCATAATCTAGGTCCTCTCCCTCCTCCCATACTTTTCCTGTTATCTGCACTACAGCAGCCAATTTTGGTGGAATACAACTACAGTTGGATATATACTGGTTTTGTTTTCTTTTTTGGGAAGAAGTCAAGAAGGGACTTTCGTTTGTGTAAACCTTCAGAAATATGCTTAAAGATTGAGGCAGAAAATTTTACAATGCTTTTCAGAAAAATTCTACACAAATGAGCTCCTATTAATTTCCAGGTGTGTTAAGCACTTGATTTCTTGTCTTAAAATGAAATTCCTGAGAACAGTGTTAAAACATCATAGAATGGTTTTGATTGGAAGGAAACTTAAAAGCTCATCCAGCCCCACCCCAGCCATGGCAGGGACCCCTCCCACTGTCCCCATGTCCAGCCTGGCCTTGGGCACTGCCAGGGATCCAGGGGCAGCCACAGCTGCTCTGGGCACCCTGTGCCAGCCCTGCCCACCCTGCCAGGGAACAATTCCTTCCTAATATCCAATGTAAACCTATTCCCTTTAAATTTGGAGCCATTCCCCCTTGTCCTGTCACTCCATGCCCTTGTAAATGGTCTCTGCCCATCTTTATTGCAGGCTCCCTTCTGGTACTGGAAAGCCACAATTGGGTCATCCTGGAGCCTTCTCCTCTCCAGGCTGAAAAATCCCAATTCTCTCAGCCTTTCTTCCTGGGGGAGGTGCTTCATTCCTCTAATCCTGTCACTTTTACATCTGACATGGTGGGGACACGATGCTCACAGAGGGACCCTGGGCTGCAATGAGGAATTGGCTCTGTGCCCACACACAGCCTGCCTGGGACTGCCCCAACACCTCACAGCCAACACTGACCCAAATACTCAGGGACCAACTCAAAAAATTCAATTACAAAATTAATTTGTAATTCTACACATGAAAAACCACAGGCAAAACGGAAAGAAACTTAGATTTTGTCAGGTTAAAACCTGAATGCTTGAAACAGAATGAGAATCACCCAGGCCTCACAAAGCCCAAATCCAGCAGGCCTCAAACCATGGGAAAACCAAACTTGTTGCAATTAAGTGGAGATGGAGACTGGTACCACCACCAGTCCTTTATTCACAAACTCTACCTGCCTTTGTTCATAGGCCTCTCTCTCATGCAGCTTTGGCTCCTCCTTTCACAGGCAGCTTCTCACAGCACTCATTCCTTTCTTCACAGGCAACTCCACACAACAATGACTTCTTCTTCCACTCTGCTTGACTGTCTAAACTCAACCCATCCCTTTCCTGGCCACCTAACCCTGTCTGTCCTCACACAGCATCTTCTCTCCATATCTGTCCCTGACACCACCGCATGTCCCTTCCTCACAGCACAGCCAGCACACTCCTCTTATCCTGCACACTCTGGGTGTGCAACTCAAACTGCACCTAGTGGTGAGCTAACCATTGTTTTATATCACCCAAACTCGTTGGGCAGGCACAGATATTCCCACTCCTCGGTTAGCAGTACAAAGATTCCCTCCTGCACTGTCCTTTCAGCCAACTACCCACAAACTCCTATCAAGGCACTCACCAGAACACAAACTGCAAACTACCTAAAACAGCAGAAGCTTCTGGAACAGAGACTTGGACCCAGGATTTCAAAATAAAGCTGAAATGCAGTGGTGAGGTCCCATGGGACTGTGGCCCAGCCCGGGCCCTGAAGGAGCTGGAACCGAGGGGTCACAGCCAGCCCCGTCCTTCCCTTCCATCAGCAGCCACCACAGCTGGGCACAGCTGGCCAGCAGCAACCACGAGCCTCATCCTGTATGTCCCCATCAGGTTGCCAGGACAGAGGTACTTCCAGCTCCTTCAAGCAATCATCCAGTAAAAAAAATAAATACAGCAGTCCTGACTTCCAGAACATAACTTGTAAGAGAAGTTTATACTTCTGTCTCCTTTTATTTCATAGCTGAAAAAAGTACCATCAATCTTTACCTTCCTTCTGCTTAGCAGTTTAGCTACCCCAATTTTTATTGAGTGTACAGATCTGTGACCACATTATAAATAAATATTCTCTGAAATAAAACCAGACAAGTATTTTGGACACAAATTAGATTTCAATAAAAATATCAAAACCAATGCAATAGCACTTACAAAGACCACCACTGTAACTCCTGGACAGAATAATTTTCTTCCATCTTAACACTTGCAAGCTACAATCTGCAAATACATAAGTACTTTTTTTTTTTTTTTTTCCCCAGTATTATACGGAAGACAAATTAATCACAGCTGGGACTACATTTTTTTGTGGCAGGAAAAACCCTATCCATACATTCTTCCTTACTTCGAGGAATCTCAAAATTAAAAATGTTTGGATACTGAAACATACATTTATATATAAAGAGAGTTGCTATTCATGCCAAACAGTTTCCTATAAAAGTGAACTTTTAAGCCCAGATAAGTGAGTTTTCAGAAGTCATTCTGTGGAACAAAGATGCCATCCAGTGGTCATCTAGATTGATGATTACTGTCTAGCTTTCCTTTTTAACAATTTCATATTTCTTGGTATATATGACTATGGCCATCCTGATTCAACTGTTTCAGTAAATATTTCTGGGTTTTACTGAATTAAATTCTGAGTCTCAGGATGAATCTAGCATTCTAACACATATAGTATTTTTAAGACAGCATGAGCTCTCAAACTCCTTTCAAATACAAACTGTATTTTAAAATAATCCAAGAGTCCAATTCTTCCTCCTATATTCAGCCTCTTGTAACAATTTCCCCTCTCCTTTTCATTAGAAACATTCCTGCAATTAACCCAAAGTATTTGCACAGTTATCTGTGAAACGTTTCAAAGATTTTGTTTAAACTAAGACAAGCCATTATAAAATCCTGGTGATATTTTCTTTATGAACAAACCTTAACTGCATGATTGCCCAGCTTTTCTTTCTCATGTGCTTTGTCAGATTAGAGCCACTGCTGTCCCAAACTGCAATACTGAACTGCTCCTAAATAAGCCAAAAGAATGCACAAAGCAATGGAGACAACATTATACTATTGACTCCTCTCCCTCTTACAAGGGATATGCCATTAGGACAAAGTCCCTACATCCCACAGATCCCATGGATCACACAATCAGAGATTAACAACAATACATGGCATATAAATGGTGACTTGAAATTACTGGAATAGCCACTATTGTATTATATGTGATAATGGCATAGATTCCATTTACACATTAATGAGAATGTTTATTCTGACTTTCATGTTATAATTTGGAATGTCTCCCCAATACTGCTTTGCCACACTATTTATGGTCTATGTAGAATGTTCTCCCTGATAAGCAAAAGGGCTGACAGAACAGATCACATTTATGGTCAGCATTTTTCTTTATTTTGAAATATATGGAAAAAACACAATCCCCTTATAGCTTGGAATATTCATTTGGAAAAACAAAAACTTTAAGGGCAAGGTTTTGTCATATACCAAACTCTGAAGCTATCCATTTAACATACACATTAGCTTTCTACCACTTCAAGGGCAAGCTGCTTTGCTTATGTTGTTAAACTTTTATTTTTAAAAATTCAAATAAAATACTAGAAAAGAGACTTTTTTTTTTTTTGGTTATGCAAGGAGGTCAGAAAACAAATTTTTTATTTCCACATAGAGTCTACCTCAAAATGCAAAATAAAACATAGATACTAAGATCAGCTTCAAATGATCTCAGAGATTGGACAGAACTATCTCTGAAAACAAACCCCATCACACTGGCTGTATAAAACCTGGCACTGCCAGGTTCCAGGAGGTCAGGAGTAACTTGGAAATAGCACTTCAGAAAAGGAAATGTTTCTGTGGAAAGGAAGGAGCACTGGGCTACCTGGCAGCCTGTGGCACACAAAGCACAGCATCACCCAACACACCAAGGGCCACATCTGTGCACATCTGGCCCTGCCAGGCAATGCCACTGAGCCCTGCTCAGCACAATTTGGAAACACTGGGATAACACAAGAGGACCAACATCCACCTCCATCCTTGGAGAAATGCAGAGCACAAATGGACCAGGCCCCAAGCCAAGCAAACCCTCCCTGAGAAGGAAGCTGAACCTTCCAAATGAAATTTTTCTATCTCAACATCAGGAGTGGATGTTTCCACCAGGTCCCTTTCATGGGCACTACCTGAACTGTGGGTAAGGATCACTTGGAGCCTGCTGCTTTCAGCACATCAGGAAGAGCTGTGTCACTGGGAACTCTGAGGGGACCACACCAGGTCATGAGCAGGACAAAGATGCAGGTCCTGGCAGACTTCAGTGGGATTTTTGCTTCTCTCAGCTACAGAAACCTCAAGCTGGTCTGTTATGGCACAAACCCAAGTCTAGACCTCTGCTTGCAAAGCAAACAGAAAAATTACTAAAAATGAAATTCAAAATTTCTGTCCTTAGATTTTAACAGAGTTAAAAAGGCAACTAACTGGGGTTCTCTCTGAAAAATACAGCAACAACAAATTTAATACCAAGAAGGTGACCTAAAATTTCACAAGCACAGCTTCACCTTGTAGAACTCTGCATCACAGAACAGATATTGTGAGCAGTCTTACAGTTCATTAATAAATGCTGACCTTAAAGGCATAGCTGCAATTTGCAAAATTCTTAATTGCTAGATCTTTTATGTAATTCCATCTCCTACCTCCTACTTTTCAGAATAGAGGGGAAAAAAAAAAGAAAACAATGAAGTTCAAATTTCTGTTTCTAGTGACCAACACTTCGCTCAAAAAAGCAAAAGGCTCAAATAAGTTATTTTAAAGAAAGCAGAATGTAAAATAATGAAACAAAATATGCAATAATAAAACACTAAGGGCAAAATAAATTTATACATAACACAACTATTTTTCAAAATTCTTGCTTTGCTTTAGATGCCAGTTTGCCTTCTGGCTAAAAACACATTCTTCACACACGCTGGGAATGTTGAGGAAAACTAGTCAGCATTCAGAGGATTAATACAGATTTCCAGCTCTGTGCCTTTAGGCTTAATAGTCAGACATCTATTTGTCCTCAGGAGAGGTTAGGGGTTGAAATGCAAATATGCAAACAACTGAATTCTTTGTTAAGATATCAGGAAAAAGCTTGATCTTTGCAGCTGTTTAATAAATCCTTGCAATTTTATGGACTTATTTAAATGCAGCTTTGTGTCTTACTATTTTGAAGGCGAAAACAATGTAAGGAAACAAACACATTCATTCTGACTAAAATTTGTTCTCTAGAGGAAAAATTACATACACCCTTGACAGCTTATTTACCAAACTCACTAAAGATTTATTGATTTATCAATCAGTGCCTTGAGCATTTGCTTCTCCCCAAGGGAAAATTAACAATTCCAGCTAACCTAATATATTCTATGTATAAACTAAGTGAATGCAAGAATCAATCCTGGCACAGTTTACAACATCCAGTTAAAAAAATGCTGTCCCTTTTGGTGTATGTAAAATTGAAAGCTATACTAACGAAGAATAAATGCTCATGTTGCTTACAAACATAAAAAATACTTATTAAGACAGTACAATTGAACCCAACAGACATTTTAATTCATTTAAATACTCAGTGGGAGGCAAAAGCATTGGAAAATAAAAAATGGAATGATTTTGCTTCCAGATTAATACTAAGTACTACCACTATTAGTTGCAATACTGACATGCCTCAAAGCAGAGATATTTCAAAGAGCTACAAATTCTCTTTTACTTCACCTGCAAAAACATAAGCCTGAAAATTAATTAGTGGTTTGATTATGTCAGAGCAACATAAGAATCCCAGAAGATGAAAATTAAAATCTAGGAATATTTGTCATTCAATAAAGAAAGAAAATATTTTAACACAACTAAAATGGTGTTAGCAAGAGCAAAATGCAGGAAACATAAGATTTGCTTTTTGCTACAAAGAGTAAAAATATTCCACATATATATAAATAAAGGTTTGGAATATAAAGAACTGGCAGGGCAGCTCAGTGCATCACTGCTACTGTGCTGAACCTTTGGGCCCACAAACCACCCAGCCTCTATGACCCAGGGAAAAGCAGGAAGCTCAGACACAGCAAAGGCTTCCCTTCAAAAGCAGGAACAAAAATCCCCCATGCCCAGGGATCCCCTCCCAGGCCCCCAGGATTGCTCCACAGAGCCCCTGTCCTCACAACCAGCATCTTCCCAGTAAGACACATTCCACAGGAGCAGCACAATCCAGTGCATAACACCAACCACAGATTCTTTGAAATCCTTGTGCACATAATTCCATTCAGCAGAAGTTTTATTATAATCCACAGAATTTACGGTTTTGTTAAACATTAAAACGTGCATTTAGAGAAAAATCCTCAAGATATGTCATGATCTCCTCCCTTTTTTTAAAAATAGAATTAAGTATGAAAATTGCCATCCAATCCCAGGAAAAAAAGACAGGAATTATTGTAGAAGACTGCCCTCTGGTGTTACACCAACTCTAAATTCTGTTTTATACTTCAGATCCCCCCCGCAACCACCCCGCTGCATTTTTTTATTATTATTTTTTCTTTTTTTTACCTGAAAGAACCACCTCCAGGGTCATTCAGCTTGTTTTTCTGATTTGCAGAGACCTGAACACCAAAGCCCCCAGGACTTTTACTGGCTTGTATTGTTGGTGCCTTCCCTACTGTGCCTGAAAAACACCAAGCAATGTTATTATGAGCTGTCTTAGACAATTTACATCAAAGAACCTTCTGTCCAGGAACTAAATTTAACTGTCTGTAAATTGCAAACAAAGGAAGTTATTATTTTTAAAGACTATATGCTGAAGAAGAACAATTTAAAATACAAAATTTATATTAACATTACAGTTTGTTCAATATTAATAGAACAGTGAAGATTCCAAAACTGAAAACCATTGGCCATTAACAGCTATAATATTTATAATGGCTGTAAGTGTGTTTGCAATTGCTAGTAAATAATTTTTCTGGATAATCTGTACAGAATAAAGAAGGCAAATTTGAAATGTTCCTAATACAAACACTTGAAGTCAGAGTTACTCAGGGTATTAGCCATGCATTTTACATTTCCTATATAGTAATTGCTCTTTATTGCAGTGAAAAACATGTATTTCAAAGTTGAAAGCACTGCATGTATTTTAAAATGTTTTGCATTGCTTATAAAAGAAAAAACACTCTTGCCAAATTTGGCACACACCCCCCATAAAGGTTGTCTTTTGCTTTCTCATCTTGTAAGAATGACCGAAAATAATTCATGTCTGTATCTAGACTTCCCAAGTATTCAAGTACAAGTAAAACAGGGCTTTGTAAATGGGCCAAAGTGTGGTGGACATTCAGTCAACTAGAGAGATCTAAATTCCTCTCTGACATGAAACTTTGGGAGCAGGCTCTCCTTGACTGCCCAAACACATTGACTTGGGTTACATTTTGGGTTTTCTTTAATCCCACCTGTGTTTTGGCACATAAAAATAACTCAGGTGTACTTGATGTAAAAGATCTCACCTCTCTCTGGTGTATCACTCCATGTCACTGAGCATTACAGACGTAGTGTTTGAGACTTTGAGGAGGATGTGAAGGCTGTTCCTGCACCCCAGAGACTCAGTGGCACACAAATGACATGCTAAGAACCTTGGTAGAGTTACACTTTTATTTCATGAATAGTAAAAACCTGAAACACAACTATCCTAATAAATCCTTTTAAGAACATTTATTGGCTAATACAAAGCTGCTACCTTTGACTGAGTCCTGCATTACTTTCTTTTTTTTTTTTCTTTTTAAGTCTTCATCAACTCCAACATATGATCTTAAAGAGAAACTAATTTGATAGTGTTTGTTGAGTTCTCCATCTGTATAAATAAACTGTAATGTGGACTCTCAACATTAGCAAATACAAAACCAGATTTAGGACTTCAGGCTCAAGCCTGGGGAACAAAAATATTTTGTCATCAGAATATTCAAGGTCCACGAGATGTCACAGACCACATGAGTTCACAGACCAGGCAATTCATTTATCTACTTCAGATGAACTAATGGAAAGGTTTTCTATTAAGTGAACTGGAAGGAAGGAAAGAAATAACAGAATAAAAAAAATTAGCAGATTTCTGCTTTGTACAATTAAGATCTAGAAGATTAAAAATGTGTTAACCTTGAAAATTATTGCAATGGTAAAATTAAAGTAACAACAGTGCTCCTCCAGAATTAATATTTTTTTTGGAATCACTATCCATGCTTTGTTTTCTATAGATGGTAACTTTTGATCTAAAAACACCCCCAAAATATGTATATCCATATGGATATGGAAGAATTAAGTCTCACATTCATCCCAAGTATATGTAATTCTACTCAATGGATCGGGCAAAATGAATGTTAGATTTGGGATGACATTTATGTTTTCTGGTTTAAATAAATCACAACTGTGCATGACTAAGGATTAGACATAAAATATGCCTGAAACATCCATTTTTATTATGGGCAGAGCATATTTTGAAAATTAAAATCACCTGTGGGCCTAGATATTTCATGGGATTGGTAATGACATACAGAGTCTTTCACTACTGCATCCTTGCTTCAAATTTTAATTAGCATTATCTAGAAGAATAAGCCCAAATTTAGGAGCTTATAAACTCCTAGCTGTATTTCAGCACTGGTTAAATAGCTGCAACAAATACTCTAGTTAATTATTTTATTATTTGGCTCAATTCCTCCATCCATAAGATGGAATTAATCTAATTAGTATACTAGTAGAGTGCTTTGGTAGAGGAGTGTGAATTTTTCGTGCAGTAACAATGGTGTTACTTCCACTGGCATGAAAGTAATTTTATTTATATAAAGGATCTTAAAGCTTGCCAGTTTTATCTAAACTACTGTTTTAAGAAGCATTATATGGATGTATTGAAGATACATTACACACTTGGAGATTCACTCCTGTCAAGGAGGAAAATGCAGCACTTTGTGGAGGTCAGCTCAGTTCTGAGGCAACTATTCTTAACAAGTCACACTCCACAAAATTATGCCACTGTGATTTTTTTTTAGAGTATGTCCTATTCCACTATATTATCTCCTTCTGCAGGGATACCTAGGTCAGTATAAAATATCATTTCACTGGTGTTCACAGTAAAAGATTTCAACAATATATCACAATGATGCACTCTGTGTGCTGCCAGCACACAGGCAGACTGCTCCCTAGACGTGGGCTGCAGGATGAGTGGTTTTACCCTGGGATTTATCTAAATGTCTATTCTTGTTTGTTTCATCTGTGTAAATAAAACAACATACTGGAGGGCTTAACCAAACCTGTTAATTGGAATAAGCTCACCAGAAAGTAGGACCTTGCACAAATTGGCTTTTATGAAACCATCTACCATAAGCCAAACTGCCAATTAAGTTGCATTGCAGTGGCTGATCAAGGGCTGAACTCATATTCTGGATCTATTGTTTGAAAGACAGATGCCAGTATCATGCAAATTCTCAGCACACTGTTGACATTCACAACTTGGAGACTGAATAAACAAAGAAATGAAATCTGCCTTCACTCTCAGACACATTAGTCAGAAGTGAGAGCTCATGCTCTAAGATGCATGGACATGTTTAAACTCAGGACACGAGTATCAGTGCTAGCAAACAAACACATTTTATGGTGAGTAACTGGATTTCTTCCTAACTTGGAAAACAGCCTCCAGGATTACAGCAACAGCTTGGTCTCTGTGTCCATTCAACCTTTGGATTCCCCTAGGAGGGCAGAGTAAGTAAAACATCAACTGCTATTAAACATTTTTGATGCTTTTTTCCCAAGCAGAATAGAAATAACCAAGAAATGAAGTCAAGTAGGCAGCAATAGCTTTTATGTGCATTTAAACTAGTTTGATTCCTGATTCAGTACCTGAAGATGGCAAGCTCTGTATTCCATTACAAACCCTCAGTCATGTAAATGCCCACATCCAATAAGATACTCTCACACATATTCAGGAAAAATAAAACCCAAGCCTAAGAGGTTCAGTGGCAGAAAGAAATAAATTAGGAAGCAAGGAGGTTTCAGGAATCCTCTTAGAAAGTGGGAAGTATCAGCCAGACATGAACCCACCTGTGCACAGACAGATGAGGACAGTGTGTACAAACCACATGCTGTGGCTCATCATGGCAAGTCAGGTTTCTGTAGCCAGCTTCTGGCCTCACCAAAAAATAAACACACTGACAGGAGTCAAAGAAAACCAACCTGAGGCTTGAGAAATTTCTCTAGGGCTCCCACCTTGATTTCTGTAGCTGCAGAGACAGGGACTACCATGTTCTGCTTCAGGAGTATGAATTAGAAGTCAGATGATTAAATTGAGGTATCCACTAGGCTTCAGGAAAATTAAGAATTTCTTTCTTGGCCCAGAGTTACAGTTTAGGACAGTGAGAGCCAAGTTGCTGACCTGGTTTAGAACTTTGCATGAAAAACTGCTAAGTAAGGAGCTAAACATGTGAGAGTTTAGTCCTAAACTTGTTTCAAAACATTTCACTGTGTTGGTCTGGAACACCTTGAAACTACATATGAAAACATGCATTCTTCTGCCAGCATGAGGTAAAAAGAAATGTCAACAATGTTGCCAATGTCAACACTGTACGTTTTTCCATGCTACTCGTTTGTAATTACAACAAAATTCATACAAAGGTAACAATCTCACTAAAACATTGAAACCCATACCTTGTGGTCTAATGGTCTGAGTTATTACCACTGGCATCCTAATCTGGGTAGTCTGGCAAGCAGGGGTTCGTTTCACAGTTTGAGCAGATGTTGACTGGATAATCTGCTATTATTAAAGAAAAGTATACTTATATTATACTCTTTATACACAAACACACACAACGTAAATACACTAATACCTGTAATTACCAAGATAAGCATGTGGATCTCTACAAGCACAACCAGCTGGTGACAAAAGTCAAATTCATGTAATGCATGTGGTTGTGTGTGTGTGTATATACCTATTTTGCCATTCTGCTTCAAAAATAATTATATAGACGACACAGATGTCATACCTCACAACCTTCACTAAAAATGTATTTCAAATTCATAAGGTTAATATTAAAATTCAGACTTTTGTCTTCAGAAATTTTACTAGGAAGAAAAGCAGTCTTGAAGAAGAAAATGTTGTAATAATTGCAGCGGTATCCACCTACAAACATCAGGCCTTGCACTAAATATCTACGCTTTTTAAAGAAAACATACTGAAAATAAATTCTAAAATATTATGGGTTCCAAAGTTAGATATACACAAGAAAGCAAACCAAGTTTTGTGGTGATTATATACTATGAATCTTTTAAATGCTAATTTGATATTCTCAAGGTTTCACTTACTACTAATTCAGGTTCTGAAGTCCTTCCTCAAACCTAAATCTGAGTTAGAAACTTAAAATTTGACCCATAAACAAATCAAATCAAAAAGAAAACACGTTCAAGGGTCATGTTTAATCAACAGCAAAGTATACATTCATATGATCAGGGCCAAGGCAGGCACAGACATAAAGAACAGAAGATTCAGAAAGATGTGTGGATGCTGCTGAGCTGTAAAAAAAACCCATAAATCAACTTTGAAAATAAAACACTGGCAAATGGCTATTTGAGTAAGACTGCAACCACAACTCAGGCACGGCCACTTCAGAAGCCACAAGCTCCTCCCAGTCCCAGCTGAGTTGCTCCCACTGTGAGAGGCACCTGCAGAGCCCCCAGCTCCCACCCTGGGAGGGATGGGGCATTCCCTCCTGGAAGGCAGCCCCACACTGCCCCACTGCCACAAACAGCACCTAAAACCATCTCACTGAGCTGCACAACAAATGGGCAAACCTCTGACTGAAAAGAGCCTATGGAGAAAAGGAAAGGAGAAACAGATCTGCAAATGAGACACAAAGGTAGAGGAGGAGCAATGCAGAAATCGTTCCATTAGCAGGAACCAGGGCTCCAAATCTGGAAGGGAGAAGGTGAAAACTACAAACAAGGAAAGAGGAATGAGGGATCTGTGATGTATTCTGGAGGAAAAACAAATAGGGCCATTCTGAAGTTACAAAACTGCTTTTTGTACGTCCTAAAATACAGAGAATCAAAACGTTATAATAAACCTGTGAATATTAGCAATAACCAGCTTGCAGAAAGAAAAAAGGGAAAAAAGATTAAGGATTCAGCTTCAACTATGGACACTGAAGGAAAATGGAACATTTGTACTAAGCATGGAAATGGAGAAAATAGATATAAATTTACTTGGTCAAGACAGCAAGTGAATAGTCACACTCAGAGGGGAAAGAATAAAGCACCTACCATGCTTCAAAACAGGAAAGAAACAGAGTTGGTCAGTGAAAATAATAGAAAAAGAAAGTTGACTCTAACTGCATTTCACTGCACAGGAAACATGAACAAGCGTGGTTTTGGTAAAAGGACAGAATAGTCCATGTTAAGAAAACACACATTGGTATAAAAAAGGAGAATGTTGCCACTTTTACCATAACTTATTGGATCGGTTTTCAAGGAACAGTGAAGAAAAGCTGCTGTACCTTAATGGGCCAGAAGCCAGGCCATAAAGGAGATGTGTGGGACCTCTGGACATGGACAGAATTACTACCTGGTATTACAGTAATATTCTGCAATTGCTTTTTTTTTTCTCTTTGTGAGAAAAGTTCTACAGTTCAGAATGAAGTTGTGTTTCCCTTGATTAATATTTTCATGTGAATACCCTACAAAATGAGCCACTAGCACCATTAAAGATAGGACACTATTTAACCATTTAAGATGACACAAATGGCAATGTTTTCTTTACTTCCAATACATTCCAAAAACTGTCTTTTGGCAGTTTCTGTACTAGGACTTCAATGTATGTACAAATGCTGAAAGTCGAGAAAATTATTGTGAAACAAACTTTTCCAAGGGGCAGAGACCAAAATCATCACCTTAAACATACAGACACCAATCAGCAACAGACACTCTCTCAAAAGAACAACTGCACCAGAGCTAGGGTAGCATTTTACACTAAATCTCACTTTCTATACTGGAGTTTTAAGAAATATTTCAGCACAGATGCAATCTCCAGATCTGGAAGTCATTAAGGAATTAACATTAGCAATTTGTTTCTGAAACAGAGTATGTAGCTTCTGTGCAGGCAAACTGCAGCAAAATTCTTTGCAGGCAATGACTCAGAGGATCCTGCATTAAAATGTGTAACTATTTAAGCCACACTTCATCAATTAAGATAATTTAAAGTGTTCTAATCTTCTTGCCTGTTTTCCCAACAGCATTACATTACTATTAAGTCCTTAGCTTGACCTGAAAGTTGTAGACAATGAACAAGTGTACTAGCAAGCTGGTTGGGGAGATGATGAACTTAAATTATTTCTCACAGACTAAGAACACATACAACAAGGGTACCCCATGTCATGTTATCTGCCCATACTCTGAATCGAAGCTGAATGCCACTGATCAGTTGACGAGCACTGCCCCAGACTGAGAGAGCACATACAGAAGTTTTAGGACACCAAGGTTATCAGGGACATTACTCCAGCCTTCAGAAAAGGGGAGATCTTGGTGCTGCTGCAAGCACCTTTGGGAAGATGTAGAGAAGACAGCCATACTCCCTCAGATGTGCAGAGCAGAAGGATGTAACACAAAAGACACAAGCTGGAATATAGGAGATTCCAGTGTAATATAAGAAAAAAAAATTAGCAAGACTATGGGCAAGCTGTGGAACAGGTTGTCCCGAGAGGCTGTGCAATTTCTTCTTGAAGACACTCAAAACATGGCTGGTCACATGGGAGACACCCCAATGTGTAAGCAGGAGGCTGCCCAAGACACCTCCACGAGTCCTTTCCAACCTTTCACCACCGTGTCCATAAACACATCATCACAGATTTTATTAAAGTGCTGAGTCACAAAAGGTAACAAGGCAGAACACAAAAGTCTTCAGAGCTTAGAGAAACTGTTCATCATTGCACCTCCACTAAAAAGGGAAGCATTTTAATTATGTACACCTCTGAAGACAGCAAGCACAACAACAGAACAACACAAGCTACAACAAAAATAGAAAAGACAGAATGTGATTTAGTCATTGCCTGGATTTGATGGTTTGGAAAATGGCAAAATTACAAAACAAAATTATGAGCAAGACAGTGTTGAGACAGCAAGTACTGTCATATACTAGGTATTGCTCTTCAATTTATCTGTCTAAAGTTGAAGAATCATGTCCTAGGCTGCTGCACTTTGGAGCTCTTCAAGGAACACACTGAAGCAGTGAAGTCATGGCATTGCTTCTTCAAATGCAAAGTGTGAACAGTTACCCATATTTTTCTTCTATAAAACAACGTTTTTCTGCAAAGTAAGATGTACATTTTTCAGAATAGAAAGTATTCTCCCTCTCTTTTTATTTCATCTTGGCCCTACTCCCCTCATCATCTCTCTCCACTATTCACATTCACTTTGATTCACCATTTGTCTTCTCTGCCAGACCAGTTCTTCCCCTCACCTCCTGAATACTGCAGATACTACTCTGCCCTTTGCTAAAGCTGACTCTATTTTACAGGTGAAAGAAGAGATGTTTATACAATGGTGCTTCCATAAGGCAGCAGGCTCATAAAGACAAAAAGGATATAAAACAACCACACTACTGATAAGCAGAATAACAAAGAGGTGACAGCTGAAATACTCTTTTTTTTTTTCCTATGGGTTTTCTTCAAAAAGCGTAGATTTGGTAACTATGAGAATAAAGTAATGGTTCTTTTTGGTCCTAATCTCCAGCCAGAAGGTGATGGCCATTCCATGACATCTTCTACTGTGTAAGTTATTGCAGGACAGAGAACAAATTACAGACATGAACACAGACCAATAATCAGCAACAAAACCGACAGATACAGACTGAGAAATAATCCAGCCAAAGCACATCAGAAGTACAGAAGCAGAAAGAGAACAGAAGTTATCAGTCTTTCTCATGCCTGCTCAAGAGAGACAAAACTAAGTTAGAGCCACTACCTACAAACCACTGCAAGGAAAATTCCTTTAGGACAGTAAGATTAGAACTCATTGCTAAAGTTTCTGAGGACAAGGATTTTGCAAATCTCCTGGACCAGTGCAGATGCATGAGGTTCCAACCTTTACTTGACAAGGGCTGCAAAACCAGCCTGGCTCAATTCACAGAAATCACCCTTTGCAACAAAAGCATCTGATCCAAAAGCTTAAACCTATCAAGTCCTGCAATAAAGACAAAAACACAGTAAACAAGACCTTCTGCAGAGAAGCTAAACTTGAAAAATATATCCTTTATCAAGCATTTTTTTCTTTCAATTAAGTTCAAAAGATATTGTGGAAGGAAGAAACAAGACATGCATAAACATATAAAACTCAGAATGGCTGTGGTCTGATATGACATTTATCTTCACTCATGAGTAAACACTTGCTAACTCACTTGTGGCTATGCCACTTGTGATTTATCAGTCTACTCACTCCTGAAGATAAATGTCATATCAAACCTCAGCTATCATGTAATCTGGCAGCATTAACTTACAATGTTCATGCTTTTATGGGCTTGGAATTCATATTTACCATTGTTTACCATACTGCACCTACAGTTTTTCAATGGTGCCCCAAAATCTGCATAAGCAATTATTTTTCCTCCCAAATAAAAACTGACTATTTAAAAACTCAGCACATAAATTTTGATATTAATATGATAACAATATTATTCCATTGAGTATAGGTTTTCAACAAAAAATGAAGAAATAGTAAACAGAAGTCACAAGATCACTTGTAACACCTGCTCCTCAATTTATTACATAATTCTTCCTACAATGGTCAAATGGTCTACTTTTGAGTGTCTTCAATTATGGCTTTTCATCACTGTGTTTGGGAGCCTCATCAACCATCTAATATCCTCTCTTACTTTAAGGATATTTTGCCTTATATCCTACCTAAATCCTACTTCATTTAATTATATCCTGTTATTCATATTTATACCATCTTGGTCTGTTCCAAAAAATTGATTCTCCCTTTTAATCAATGTTTGACCAAGTTATGTGTGTTCAATTCTCTTAAGCTCTTCTTTTAATCCTTGCTTTCAAGCCTGGCCTTTTGTTATTGGTTTCCAAACACCAATCAGTGACAATATTCTCCTTACATTAAGGTACAGCCCACAAAATTCTGAAAATAAAGTCCACGACAACAACTCAGAAAACCACTAGGCTGTGTTTCAAATAGGCATACAATTTGTCAAGTATAGGCTTTGTTCTTGTTAATGGATCCCAGATATCTACTGCTCAACAGCCATTTTTATTTAAATGTTACTGCACACCAAATTCCATGTCAGTGGCTAGATCTTTATTAGTTAATTAATAGAAAATACTCCTATTATCCAAACAGCCATCTATTATTCTTCCATTTCTAAGCTGCCTTGCAGACAAGACAAAAAGAAAATTATTTCCTAAAATTTCACTAAAATGTGTACAAATTACATTCATTCATGAACAGAAAAGTGATGCCAGAAAAGCTTCAGTGGAGAATTAATAAGCCAAGCAGAACATCCCCATATAACATAATTCTTATTCTGTTGTTGTATCTTGCTTGCAAATTCCATTACTCTATCTCAACTCTGAGAGACTCCAACCACTGTGACAGTGCAGGCAAAGTGTCAGTAAATGTTTGAGCAAATCCTGTTCTAATGTAACTTAGAATATGGCAGAGCCTACCCCCTCTGGACACTGTGCCCAATTAGTGCAGCAGTAACAGTGCAGATGTATTTCCATACATCCCTCCTAATTCCAGACCTACATGAATCTTTATACAGCTCTGTATATAATTAAATTTGTTTTAATTAAGATGGATCACTGATTTTCTTACTGGAATTTTTTATCACTCAAGTTTAATACTTGGCTCTAACCTCCAGGAGTGTTTCCTCCTTATGATGCAGTCAGTGCCAACACAATTCATTAAGTGCTAATCCATCTCCACTACCCATCAATCTACTTGGAACCTCAACATGTGTAATAAAGAACATCTCTCTTATTCATACCAATTTTACATGCTGCAACACCCAAAACAAGACAGGCAGTGTCTGCACAGATAAGGCAACACAGAGCACACGGACTCTAAGAATGGCAATTTAGACAAACTTTGAACATTGCACTTAGAACAATTCAAAAAACTGATTGCTGGCTTATTTCATTAGTCTCATCAATAAAATATTAGCCTAAGATTGTTTCCCTTTTCTTTCTGTAGAAGTAGCACTACCTAGTTTTATAAAGCATTGTTTTTCATAGTTTGGAAGATGATTCCAGTACTTTACAAAACAGATTAAAAGTCTCCTGTTTCATGTCCACTAACACTGTACATTTCAAAGCCTTTGTGCAAGCTGTGCTGCATGCTGCCAGTGTACACAGGATTTTCATGTGGCAACTAGGCTCAATGTAAGAGAAAGCATCACCACAGCTGCCACCTTTGAGAAACAGGAAGAACAAAGAAGGAACAGCTAGCAGACCCTTCAGGTTTGAAGGGAAACTGGACTCCTGTAAACTGGCTGGTATGAAAAGATCTACATTCTAAAAGAAGCTTGCCCTTCTGCAGCTGGGCAGTTTGCAAAGCCAGCTGGAACTCCCTCCAATGAGCTTCAGGCTTGGAAAAGCTGGAACTCAGCCAGTTCTTCCATCAGTGCTGGCTACCCTCAGGCAAGCCAGCTGCAATCTTCCTCTTCTGGACAAGTCCAAGGCAAGATGGCCAGCAGCTCTGTGCTCTGATTTCGGGGAGCACTGAGAACTGCGACACTCTGATCACTGTCACTACAAAAAAATCAATACTTATCAGCAATTGCTGGGGTGATATGGAGCTGCTGCTCTCATGTCTGCTTGGCACCTGAGTTGATGGTTGCTGTATTAAGATTTTTTGATGCAGTAACTCTTGATGTCTGATGCTGCTTTTGTCTGTATAGAACTACTCTGAGGGTCATTAAGTGCCCGGTTAATGTAATGTTTGATTCTATTAACTAATGACTGATAAATTTAAAATAAATATGAAAAGTCAGTTTCACACTGAAGGAAATAAATTATGATTTTTAATGTCTTCTCCCTATTGTTTATATATTTTTAGATATTATATCTTTTCCAGAAAATAAACGGTATCAACCATAGTTTTGCTTTGTGCAGTTTGTGACCTTTTGAAAATGTAGTGGTCATTTCACGTACCCAGTAAATGAAAATTCAGCCCTAGACCTGTGACCTCCTTACAGACCAGCTTCTCTTGCTCATCAGATCGATCTCCACAATGTTACTGAGCAGTTTTCAGCCCTCCTGTGACACAGGTATGTCAGAAAAGCTCTTCACATTGTTAATCTCTACTCAGATAGTGTGTTAATATCACAATTGCTCATTAGAGTACCTGTTAACATGAGACAAGCAGAACATGCCTCTCCCAGAAATTTGGCTTTATCCCAACCAGAAAATACTCCACCAGAACTGTAATCATAAGAATAAGAATTCCTGTGGTCTTACCCATTTTTGCCCTACATCAGTGTTTCTCAAAAGGTGGAGTGAATGAAACCTGCCTAGTGGGTACAGGAGCACTTAAGGTGGGCTGCACAACGTTGGAAAAAGCCATGTTAATGGCAGTAGGATAGCCTTAGATTGTGGCAATAGGCCAGACTTACTAGCCAGGAACATTTCTACCTATAAGCAATCTGTCAGCTACAGGCAGAAATGTGCTTAACCTGGGACAGGGAGTAATTTTTCCACCTACTGCCTGTAATTATCACCAGTTTCTGCCTAGAAGAGCCAAAGCTATTGTCTATTCAGTCATGGACAAATCAAAGAGATGTCACAAAAAGTGTAAGGAACAATTTCCTAATCTATACAACAATCCAGACAGGGTGGGGAAAAGCCATCGCAGAAAAAGAAACAATTCAAGGGCGTGGACTTGCATTGAAGCAGCCGAGTTAAGGTGAAAAACACCCAACTGTCCTGTGTGTAATACAAATGACAGTCAGAAATCTGACCATTCGAGATGTTTTTACACATTAAAACTATGCTCACTAAAGGATTATTACATTATATTAATTTCATTTTTAAGTTAATAATTTAACCACTAGAAAGTGTTTGTAAGGTTCAAGACAGTTCAGGTATTTTCAAACCATGCACTGCTACTTTTAAATTAAAGCAAAAGAAATATTCTCTCTCCACACACGTTACAAAGTATTTATATGCTTTATAGAGCCTATAAACTCAAGGATACATGACTGTAAGGTTTTACATTATCACATTTGCATTTCTCAGCCTTGATAATATGAATTTCTACCGATTTGATACATGTTCTGGAACCTCTCTATATGAGTCTGAAACCTAAGTGAAGTACTTTACTCACACATACACACAAACAACAGACAAGGAAAATCTCAAAAAGGGTAGTAATGCCTGTATAAACTCAAGGCCTTGTAAAAATCCTTACATCTCTTAATTACAAGTGCAAACACACACACAAGACCCTGTGTAAGAGCAGGATAAAGTCCCCATGCTCTCAGTGACTACCTGGCTGTACAGTGCCTCACTGACTGTGCCTCTGAAATAAATGATTCTAAGCACTTAATACTCCACTGTGCACAACAAAGATACAGTTCAGTGAGTAACAGAATGGCATTACTGCTAAACAAAACACCCTGGTACAGCACAGCTACTCTTCTACAAGATTTTATAACTATGTGCAGAAGAGTTTAAAACGAGAGAGTTAATTTTAATTTGAAAGCGAAGCAGCATATCTAATGACATACTCAACATTATACTCTTGCCTGTAAATCTTGGAAAGCTTTTTGTTCTACATTTGTAATTCTGTCAAATTCCACTGTGCTCATACAACAACCACTCTATTGCAGACAAAAAGACCAAGAATGCACTTCCTTAAATTTATGTAAATAATCTGATCTAAAGTAATGGTTGAGCATACATGTAAAACGACAGAAAATGAGATACTACCACACATCACATAACATGATAGGAACAAAAAAGAATTTTCCCAAACAAGCTGCAAGGAAAGTGACACTGAAAACTGCTACACAGTTCATTAAGAAATCCTTTTTTATACTAGAGTACCTACCAGTTGAGAACTCTGATTTGACTGTACCACCTTAACCTGAGGAGGCTGCACTGTATTTGATACAGACACTGTGCAAATGTTGTTTGGTTGCCTTATTCCTATTGTCTGCGTGGTGACAACAGAGGAGATGCTTCCCGAGGCAGATTGAGGTATAACTTGTGAGAGCTTGCTCTGCTGGAGTGACTGCTGAGACGGCTGGCCTTGCAAAACCAAATGCTGACTATTCAGTAAGGATTGTCTCAGTGCAGGTAGACTTTTCTACAAACAGAAGAAAGTTTATGAAACATCAAATTAGGCAGACTGATAAAAAGCATTTTGAAATTTGCTGTAAACATCATTAAAAGAATTTTTTCTTTCCAGTTTTACTAACTGCCTGTTCACCAAACAGAACTAAGATTTAGCATATTTTATATCAGAAAGTTCAGGTTTTAATAAGCTTTCCATTTAGATTTAGCAACCCTGTAGATTTTAGCGTGCCCTTAATTCCACTGTAGCAGAAAAACGTAACACTCTTCTTCTCAAGACAATCTAGAACTTGTAGCTTGGGTCTTTGGACAGGCAAGAAATAGAAGCAGATAAGGCAGAACCATGGAAAAACCCTATTCCAAGCAAGCTGCACCAATTTACTCCTCCTAACACACCTCCAGTACCTAGAACCAGATGATTTCACTCTCAGTGCCCTACAGCAGGAGCTGTTTATTGTATTATTTCTGAAGTAATGTATTATGAGTGGATTTAAAAATTGTACTATTGCACATATCATTTCAAGGAAAACATACTTCAAAAAGGCTGTACTGTACCTTCCTGAACAAACTTTTTACTTTTTAAGTGGCAGAAGTGTTCTTTTGAAGTGCTCCCCTAGGCAGCTGTAGAATGCAACAGTGTTTAGCCCAAGCTACAGCTCTTTCTAAACTTCTAATATTGATTTAAAAACTTAATGCCTGTTACCCAGAAAGGACTTCAAAGAAAGGATATAAATCAAAACTTAATCATGATGCTAGAAGTGACTGCAATAAAAGCCACAAACAAGAGTTAATGTTAACATGTAAAAACAGGAGCAGAAGTTCTGAAGCAAAGTTGCAGGGAGGGAAGAGAGAGAAAATCGGCCCTAAACAGAGAAGTTTTGAACTAGACAAAAACTACTTTAAAAATCATATTCGTGGTTTTGTTGGGACTTAAACATGTTTTTTATGTTTGCATATAATCCTGCATATGGAAGTTATTGTAGCTGATTTACAGAACCAATTAAATTTACATACACATACATTAACTTCGGACCATACAATAAATCTTGTCTAGTATCACACCAGAAATCCTACTGTTGATTATTTCCAGATTAGAAGTAGAATCATCTAATCAACACTTGATCCAGTTCAGTTTTTCATAATCATTGTTACTCGTGGATTGATAATTATCAATGACCCAAATACAAATTAGGAAAACAGTATGGCAACAGCTTATTAAAGTGCTTGAAGTATTCTGTAAAAAATAACTTGGGACTCTTTGAAATGTGAATGCTTTTCTTCTTCACAAAAGATTACCTATTACCACAGAAAATGTATTAATTCTAAAAGTAAAGGATCACTACAGAATAGCCAATGGATGGTTTCCAAACTAGGGAATAACTGTTTGGGGTTTTTTTTATCTAATTACTGCAATGTTCTAGATCAGGGCTACTCAAGCTGTGAACTCCAGATCAGCTCTGGATGACAAATACATTTTTTTTCAAACTCAGTCAAGGTCCCAAACACACAAGGTCTCCTTCCAGTGGGAATTCCCTGTTCCTCCCCACTGTGCCTGGGGCAGCCCAGGGCCACCTGAGGCTGTGAGCAGCACCTGCCTGGCCCGACACAGGCACAGCCTGCACGGGGCCTCCAGCCAGGAGGATCTCGGCAGAAACGGGGAGCATTCAGGAGTAAAGGAAGTGCAGTCCTGCTCTGGACTACAGTGAAAATAACACTAATAAAAAAGGATATTCTAAGACTTAATGGAATGAAATTTTGCACTGAAATAAATCTAACCAAACAATATTCACATTACCTTAAGGAAAGGTACAAGATATGGCTGAGGAGATGATTTGAGTTCTGTTTGAAGGCGGCCTGTAAATTCTTCTGGATCAATCTTTGCATCCTTCAGGGTGAAGAAAAAAAAAGCATCAACATCTCAGTTCAGTTGTTTGGTTGCCTTTTCCCCAGTTACTGTATACACATGTCTCTCTAGCTAAAGAGGCTGCCACATCAGAAACTTTCAGAGCTGAAGTCCCTTAAGTCCTCTCTAAGATCCTCCTGCCAAGCATTCAAACATGTAAAACGCCACTCAAAATTCAGGGAATTCCTTTGGGGATGCACAATTTAAGACAAAATGAGGGCCCAGAAACACTCAAGTCTCTTTTGGGACTCCACTCTCTTGCTAACATGTACATAGTGATTTCTTTCTTTTTCAATAACAGGTTGTTGATGTAACCTTACAAATACAAAATTTGTCAGCCTTTGTAATAATTCCAAAACCAATTCTGATGATACAATTTAACTTGCAGAATCCATATATATAAAACTATATATGTAAAGCATGGCAATTAGATAAAGCACGCTTATAAGTAGATATAAAATTTTCTCCTCTATGAATTTGTATGTATACTCACAAAATACACACTTATATCAAATACACAGTCAATCATTTATTTAGTAGTAATTCTAGAGAATTCTAACTTGGGTGCATTTTATGATACTTCTAAAGTATCATTAGTTAAAAGTTCAGGTTGTAATAAAAACAATAATTAGCTTTCCTGTCTGATACAGAACAAGAGAATAACCAAACCAAAACAAGTTTCAATATACATACTTATGATATATGTGTGTTGGTACTTTGTTTAGAATACTGTAAGTAGTTACCTTTATTTATTTACTCTCTTCAAGTCTTTAAAAACGAAAACAAGTTTTCACTGGAATCACTGAATATGATTGTTGAATGGCTCACACTTGAAAACAGTCTTAGGCTTGTCTAAAACACACAGATTTCTCTGGCAATGAATTCAGAGAAATGTATAGCAACTACTTTTAAATCCAAGTTTTTCATAGACTATATTACATTTCTTTTAAGAAGTTTGAGTCTTCTCCCAGCTCCAGTGACCTCTGTCTGCAGCTCATTTACACAATTCACTGCAGTATCTGTTGCACTGGACACTGCAGCAAGCCCAGCCTTTTTCTGGCCCCGAGGACTCCAACACAGCTTTGCCTCTGGAAACCCCTGTGCCACCAGGCAGGGGCATCTGCCTGCAGAGCAGCTGAACATCAGCAGCTCAGGAAAATACTTTTCCTTCAGTCCCAGAAACTCCACATCACATTGTGAAGGGATTGTATCTGCACTCATTATGTGCTTCAAAAATTAAGAGTTTCTTGTTTCAGAGAAGATCAGAGTTTGGAAAAAAAAAAACAACTTAACTTGAATCCTCAAGAAAAAATCTTGTCTTTTGCTAAAGAAACAACCAAAATATTACTCGTCAAAACAAGAGTGGCTTTGATAAGTGCCTACTAAAAACTTTGCTGCATTTCCCCTTTCAAAAACAAAACAAAGGCTGCCTTTAACAGATTTTAATATATATAATGTACAGAATATTGCATTTTGATGAAGCCCAACTCCTTTCATTACAGCCAAAATAATTGTTAAGATCAAAGCAATAGTTTTCAGCATTTATAAATAAGTTTAATAAATAACTGACAAAATAAAAGGTAACTAAATATTTACCAGCAAATCTTGAACCAGAGCTTTCACATTGCGGGACGTTTCTGGAGATGGTGAGTTATGAGAAGCAAGTTTTATAAGGGTAGCTAAAAAGTTTTTACATTTTTTCACATTCTCTTGCATTTCCTGCAAAAGCCAAAGAAAACAAGTATTAGCTCCATACTATTTTTCTATCACAATCAAAGCATGCTCTGACCACCACAAATAAGGAAAATGATGAAATTTTTCTAATTCAGACAGGCTATATATGAAATTTGTTTTGCTATTATTGCTTGTTACCTGAGACTTTCTTACCTTCTTCAGGTAACTGAACATCATACCTCGCAAATAACAACAACAAAAAAATCAATGAAAGAAATACATGTTATATTTTACAGTCTGCTTTGGTACAAATAACCTTAAATATGAGAAGTAACACAACAATTTGCTTGAGATGCATTCCCCTTTGAGATGCCCATTAGACAATGTACAAACGTTCCCCAAGCTATCTTAATTTGTTAAATTATTGATTCAGTATGTTTTTGTACAAAGCATCTACAGCAGTAAAATCAAATTAGAAGTCTTCAAACATCATCATATCTAGTCTTTTTTTCATTAGTAGTAAACCAAGCCATTATTTTTATATGGTGTAATTGCTCCAAGAAACAGAAACGTCACACTTCAGTGTAACCCCAGTTTTGAGTCCCAGCAACAGGATAATCATGAAGTCTATAGAGTGAAGATTCTGGCTACAGGAACAGTAGCTCTGTCACTAGTGCCACACACATGGCAGCATGGGGAAAGGACATCACAACTGTTCCTCCTCCCTCTCAGAATCTGGATCCCATTCAGCCAAAACCAGGGGAAGGGTCTTCCTGTTTGTCAAGTATTTGTTCCACTGGGAGATACGTGCCTGCTTGAAGAAAAAGCTCTTCCTACTTCTGAAGGTACAGGAGGAGTTCCTAAAGTCCTAATAAAACCATGTTTCCACTGATTTCCCACTTGCCTGCGACACCACTGTAGTTCCAGGCACAGGAGAGCTGGGGATGACCAGGGGCTGTGCTGGCACCTGCGCTGCCGTGTGAGGAGGGAGTGGCAGCCTTGGCTGGCCCTGGGGCTGGGCTGAGCCCTGGCTCTGCCCACCACTCATCACTGCAGCCTGCTGAGGAGCTGAAGTTCCAGTTGCTACTGTTGTCTTGAACAAATTCTGAGCGCTCGTCGTAGCTACTGATACCTATTAATTAATATTTTATAGAGAAAAAAATATTAATTCTCACTTTCAAAAAACCATGTAAATCATAAAATCACAGAATGGTTTGGGATGGAAGGGACTTAAAGCTCATCCAGTTCCACTGTCCCAGGGTGCTCCAAGCCCCATCCAACCTGGTCTTTCGTGGGAAGTTAGGTTGTAAGCATAGTGCATTTTTTCCCAATGAATTCCAGCTGTACTGGTTACTGAGGGGTAGAAATATTTGTGCCTGCCCAGTGAGTTTGGGTGGTATCAAAGAGTGGCTGGCTGGCTACAAGTTACAGTTTGGGTTGGAGCTTGAGACCCGGAGTGTGCTGGCTGTGCTCTGAGGAAGGGACATGTGGTGGTGTCAGGGACAGACAAGGTAAGAAGATGCTGTGTGAGGACAGACAGGGTTAGGTGGCTGGGAAAGGGACAGGTTGGGGTTTAGTCAGTCATGCAGAGAGGAGACAAAGTCAGAGCTGTGTGGAGCTGCCTGAAAGAAGTTCATTGAGAGAAGGCACGTGAAGTTTTTAATAAAGGACTGATGGCGATGCAGTCGTGTCCATCTCGACATAATTACAGCCAGGGATGCAGGGACAGCCACAGCTATTCCAGACACCCTCCCAGGGAACACCTCCTGCATGTCTGTGCCCTGGACGTGCCCTCGCTGTGGCACTGACCGTGGTGTGGGGCAGCAGGGCGGCTGCTGGCAGCGTGGCCGTGGCGCTGGCGGGCGCGGCCGGGGACGGGGACGGCACCACCTTGGCCTGCACCGGCAGCCCCAGGCGCACGCTGGGGCTGCCCACGGACGGCGGCTGCTGAAAAAAAGGAAAGCAAAGCGTTTTACTTTCTTTTCTCCTTTAGTAACTTCATCTCCTAGGCTTTTTAATAACGGCGATTACAAGAATAATCATTATTAATACAGCGAAAAAAAAAAAAATCAAAGCTAGTAATGTGCTTTTATATATATATTCATAAATACTGGAAAAATTAGTTTTCTCATGTTCAATGATAGGTTTGCAATGTTTCTCCTAAAACCTACTACTCGTGCAGCTGTATGGAAAAGACTAGAAAAAACAAAAGCGACCTGCAAAAAAACTGATGTTACATTGATGCATTAATTCAGTTGTAATATTTATGTGTCAGTACTCATCAATATTTGAGTTTATCATTACCAGTAACACATATTGGTCCTCTTGGTATTTACGGGCCTGTTCTAGTGCTTTTTCTTTATGAAAATCAATATGGACAGAAAATTCAGAAAGCAGAAAAATATCCTTAAAATAATTTCAGATGGAATTATACAGAAACAAACTTGCAGAGAAATGAAATCTAAGCATTGGGAGAACCTTTGTCATAGAACACAGGCTCTGTACCCAGACAGCAACTGCAATGTGAAGGGCAGACAAAGGAAAATGACTGACCTACAGCTTTTCAGTCAGTACTACATTCTGTAGCTCAGGAAATGTATCTCATTTAGCAAACATATTACTTATTTTGTGATTTATTTTCACTGCAAGCCTGAAATCTCTTGCCACCTCAAAAAAGGACAAGATTTAGGAATTAAAAAGCGTCTCCACAGAAGTTACTTAATTCTGCAGGAATATAAATACCATTATAAATGAAATGCATCATACAATATGGCAATTATGACAAAATGAGAACCACACATTACTAAAAATGGAGGCCACATTGGTGTCTTAGAACTTGCATTTATTAAGATATGCATTCACACACTTGAAAAAGACAAATTTTCCAAGTGGATAGAGTAATACATCATGGCTGATGTTGTTTCTCACAAGATAAAACTAGTTTTCCTTGATTTTAATTTTAATTTGTAAGTCTCTAAAATTCATATTTTATAAACAATTGCTTACTTTAAATCCTTACATTGTCTATTCAACCTACATAAAATACTTCTCCAAAAAACATGTAGTCTACTCTAAAATATCTCCAAAAGGAACAGAAGCCCAGGCAGGCATTCAGAGCCCCAAGCATTCCTTACAAATCAGTCCAGCAACGTCATCTACTGGATATCAATCTTCTGTACTGGGGGAAAAAAAGGAGGAAAAAAACCAAATCAAATAAATCTACCTGACATCTGAACAAACCCCTTCTTTTGTTTGTGTAGCTTTCAAGATTTTTAAAATCTTGACTAGGGATGCCTTCCATCCTGAGACAGCCTGGAGACAATAAACAGCATCATCATGAAGAGGAAGAATTGTCTGTTTTTTTGGAAGAAGGACCACATAAGCTTTTTCTGTTTTAAACACCCTACACCTCTTTTCTTCACTATAAAAATGACCAAGTATTTTAAAATAGTGGTTGAATGAAATTATATCTACCCCATGAGTGCTGCACTTAAAACATAAATATTGTTTATCTTGTTGACTTGCTTATAATCAATTTCCAGCCTAAGAAGGCAGCATGCCTGTGATATCTGCCCCCTTATCAGTCTGGGCTTCCAGAAGTGAGGATTTAGGAAACAAGCAGACAGCCAGGGGCAGATCTGGAAGCTACTTGCTTCCAGGCAAGACCTGCAGCCAGAAATCCACAAATACAGAGTGAGACTGCAAGCTAGAGAATTTTTCTCAGCTAATAAATGCCCATTATTCATCACAGGAACATACTTCAAAATAAAATTAAAATACAAATTTTCACTATTATAATACTCAACTAAGAATGTATTCCAATGTGCCAGATGTCAGCAGCAAACTGTGAAACTTGAAGACTAAATTCACCCTTGGTTTTAAAAATCAATAGTGACAGAAGCCTTTGATAGAAAATGGCAATAAAATCCACTACTGTGCTGGGTATGAACAAATCCCTCACCACCAAAGAACCTCAAACAAAGTAATGCAATGGTTTTACAAACCTGGCTCCAAAACTCAGAAGGGTTAAAAAAGTAAATAAGAAATGAGGGTTTGAGAAACATAATGAGGGACTAGCCTGGAGAAATTCTTAAGTATCATGGAAATGATCTTCAAGTGACAGCTACAAGTTGCCAGAAGACACTCAAAGGATTCCCAACATGAATGCTTCCAGAACTGATAAAAACTATTTAGAAAGAAAAAGCTGTGTTTTCTATGGAAGGAAACTTGTAAACAGATCTCATGAGAAATATGTCAAAAAGAAAACAAAAATTATGAACAGTACTTTAACAAAAAATCGTAACTCAATGTGTCAAGTTCCTACTGGAAGAATCTAAAAGAATTCATGATGTTGCTTAAGGAAAAGCTACCGAGATTGGGTAGGATGCTATTAAATTCTGCAATTACCAGAAGAGTTAGAAAGAAATACATTTTCAAATGTAACTATTATTAGTATTAGATAAATCAGATGTTTTTACATTCCCTAAATACACAGAAGTACCACTGAAGAGCCTTTTGCCCTGTGCTCAGACACGAACAGGCAGGAAGGCAGAGCATGAATGAGCAGAGTCCATAACCTGCTCCTGATGCCCAGGGGACACTGCAGGATGCATCTGCACACAGACCTGAGCTGGCTCTGTGCAGCACAGTGCTGCAGAGGCAAGGAGGATTTCAGGAGGGACAGCCTGGCCTGGGGGGGTGTCCCAAGGTTTGTTCTGCCTGCCCAAGTCACACAGGTAACACAAGGGACTCCCATTTCAGGGTGCCACAAGTCACTTCCACTTAGGCAGTCAGAGCACGTTGGAACTGTTCACAGTGCAGAAATATTCAGTGTCCTATAAATTTACTCCTTAAACAACATCTCTACTTTCCTTCTCCCCAGAGCTCTGGGAACACGAACAGGGAGGCAAAGCTTGGGAGACAATCCATTGCACCTGCTGTGCACAAACAAGCTGTTTCTGCACTTCAACGAATACACAGGGCTGCATTTGCAAAAGCAAGTCACTTGAATATGGAGAGAACAGTCAAAATAGCCAAAGATTATTTGTCAAGGCAGGACTGTACCAATTTTAGAGATTGCATTGCATATTCACAGCTTTACCAAATGAAGTCAAACTGCCAGAGGGTTAATATGCAAACCCTTGGGAGCAGGTTTGGGTTACACTTGTATTTTGCACTACAAAACCACGTAATGACCAACACTCCAGGTACCAGCAGCACAGGCTCTACACTAGAGCTCACTTCTGACAAATAAGTTCCACACATTTTTCATGATCATTCCTGTAAATAAATTTGGCCACCATCAACCAAAAAGAAGAAAATATCCCAATAGCATTTGAACAAACACTAACACAAAAGCCAAGGTTTTCTAGAGATTGTGACACCTCATTACATCATCCAATACATGGCTTCACTAAGTGTTATGCAAAACACAATTTTCATAAGGTCTGAAAAATCTGAAATGAAATTCAATTTTATTTCTAATCATTAATCTAGAAGACTTCTTAAAAATTCAACAGACCATGCTAAGATACCATCTGAGATACCTCGAACAATCAAGGCTCTGTTTAACAAAGAAAACTGAAGTGGAATCACAGACACGGGCAGAAGCCAAAGGTCAAATCTGGGAGCTCACTTGCACTGGGCTGGCATGGCCAGGTTTTGGTGCTGGGGTGGCTTTGTGAGAAGCTGCCAGAAGCTTCCCCTGCGTCCAGCAGAGCCAAATTTGGGCCCATCAGTGACAGTGGCAGAACCTCTGGGGAACATTCAGGAAGGGAGAGGAAATCCCCGTGGAATTGCAGCTGGGTGAGAGGAGTGAGGGGATGGGAGAGGAGCAGCTCTGCAAACCCCAGGAGGGGCAGGAGCTGCTCCAGGGCTGGAGCCCGGGGTGCAGCCCAGGGAGAGGCAGCTGTGCCCCTGCAGCCCCCGGGC